AGTATATACCAATACATAATTTATACCATTACCATAATCTAAATATTATAACATCAAACATAGATCATCCAAGTGGTGAAGTATATCTGAAATTTCAATGTTTAGACTCTAAGGATACAGTGAAACTCCCATAAACAGCGAAATCAKTAAAATAGTTAATACTATTATTTTAAATCGTWGACATAATACGATACCTAACTTAATGTTTAACTAAAAAATAAAACAGTGATTTATTACAGTTCGTTCATAGACCATGTCGATTTTCTTWYAGATAGTTATACCAATAMGTAGGTACTAAATTAAAAACAAATATTTTAAATACTAACAGAAAGGACTAAACCGATGTGGTATTAACCGAAATATAAATTCCATGTTTTTGAGAACTTGCAACTACAAAACCMAGCCGACATTTTATTCAACCTATCCGTAACGAAAAAATAGTCGCGACATATACATTATAATAATATGATAGTATAACGTAYAATGAAKGTTCGCTAAAAAGCCACATAAYAAGAATATCGGGTAAAAMAATAATTTTTGAAAATGCGTCGATAGGTACCTTAAGCTGATGGTGCAGGTGAATTTGCGCCGGATTTCGCGACTACTCGCCRCAATCGTCACCGCAGTCGGTGATCTCTCGTCTCACGCACGTCCTGATGCTTTCGTCACGAGCACGCGGAATACCGCTCGAATGGTATAATATAATATTATATTGTAACTGTTGTACAGCGGCTGCTGCTGCTGCTTCCGCAACGCGTGGACGCGCCGCTGTCGTCGCCTTCCGTTATGCTCGAACTAGTCGTGCGCAGCGCTCTAGACCGTATTCTTCACGTGCGAAGTTATATTATTATTATTGTTGTGATAAAGCGGAGTGCGTCGGCTACAATTTTATACCGCGACGTACGGTGCAACGACGGCCTGCGGTTGTATGCGTGCACAACAACAGTGTCAACAATGTTATCGGAACATGCAGCGTGCTTGTATGCAAAAGCGGCGCGATGCAGCAACGGTTGAGTGTGTCGCGCTGTAGTAGTGCGAGCTGCATGTGGTGCTTGATGTTGGCGACGGTGTTGGCGCGATGACTGCTGCGACTGCAATGCGGTTGCYACTGTATAGTGCGTGCGCGGTCGGATGAATGAATGATCGACGAATACAAATTAAAATTATATAGAGCTAGATTTGATCCATACGGAGTGCGGTGGCGGCGGCGGCGTATATCGGAGAGTCGGAAGGACTTTCGTCGGCCATACGACTACTGTTATTACACGCGTTATTGGATGCGGTGGAAGTGGTGTGCAAGTGGCGATGGTGGAGGTGGTGGTCGCCGATGACCGTGGTGGCGGCCGGTCACTATGAAATAGTTTAATATATCGTATATAATATTATRTATTATAATATAATAACACACATAATATTATATTTATAGTCACCATCATACACAGCAGGTGGATACCTGGTTGTTTGTTACGTTATATTATATACCTAYTGCACGATGTAGGTATCGCTGTATTATTATACCTACGCTATTACTAGAACAAAATATATACAATGTATATACGTATAATATTACGCGTATAGTTGACGCCCGCGCGAATTATTATTATTGAAGTTCGGTACCAACGAATATAGCAGTAGGTACCTACTCRACAACACTCGACCTATAACGCGTGATCTACAATATAGGTTAGGTACATGATTATTATCATAACGACGTTAACCATATTAATCATATTATATACCTCGCATGCGGCGGCGACGGCCACACATATTATAGAGATATCGATAGATAATATTATAATTGTTGGAGCGAGGGCCACTTATATAGGTACGGTGCATACATATGTGAGCGCTCACATATATACTGTCATTATACACACACATGCATTTAGAATATAATATATTATATAAGTATGTATAGGTATAGGTGCAGTGTGCCAAGGTACGTGTGAATTATGCGTGCGCGCGTGTGATATGAAACAGCATAATATAATAATATTTATTATTATTATTATTTTTATTATACTATTTAGGCACCATCGACGACGATAAGAAAATGACAAATTAAATTTAAATAAATTAGCACGTGCGATAAACCTGTAGCCGCAATAACTATTGACCCCCCTGTGTTTTATTGTACATGCAATTATCGCCATTACCTGTCTACCGCGAAAATTACCACGTATACCTATATATAATATTAAACTGCAAAAAATGATAACAGCAGCGCCGTTTCGATTTTCCGCGTGAATGGATATCTATACCATTAATTATAATATTTCAGCGCCGTAGTGGCGTTCGAATCGTTTGATGTGTAGGTACTTGAAGGTGTTATGTGACAAAAGTACTATCCAATTCTCAGACGATAATGCGATGTAGGTATATGGAAAAATATCAACTCGATAACTCGACAACTTCTAAAATATTATAAGACGATTGTTAAATAATTACAACGCAGTAATATTATTGCTATATTCTTACGTAATAACTTAATATTAGTTTATAGCTTCCGCGAAAATGTTGAAATATATCRGTAGTCGATACCTATACAAGTTAGCAATAATAATACCAACATGGTTACATACAGAAAATTATGCATATTAAATTTGGTCCGTTGAGACTTCGAGATACCGAAGTTCTACTGTATATAGTAAGTCTCGTATCATTTAATAATATAGCGGGTACTGATTAGAGTATACGCATATCTCACCACAAAAGGTGACAAAACATACGAAAGCTGCACTTAAACCACCTAAAATGTATTCTGTATAAATAAAAACATATGAAAATCCTATAGAATAAGACATCTAATTTTTGCAATTATATTATGTTTATCAGATATATTCTGATGGATTCGGAATTACTACCATGCGCCGATCGCGATAAAGTGGTTTCGGATATAAAAGGTATGCGCAGTTGTACTCTGCAAAATACAAGCTCGGACTCGAGCTAAAAGTATCGCAGTGGCTAAATGGACTCGAGCTAAAAGCATCGCAGTGGCTAAATACTCTGATTTAACGACTAATATTAACATAAGCGTAATTAAGTATGGGCTTGGAGCAGGGGGAATATTGAAAAACGTTTACTTCCATGAGGCATAAAATTGACTTAGAACGAGAATAGGTACCTATGATGCAAGATTGTTTATAAAATCAGGTAAATGCTTAAATTTATTATGCTATTTAGAAATTGCAGTGATAACTTCAGCAATTTCTTTTTTTCAAATGTAAGAATTTTTTTATGTCAGTTATAAGGCTGATGAACCTATTTATAAATTTAAATAATTGAAAATAATATGGCCCTTAACCTTAATTATATTTAGGTAATAATTTAAATTTATAACTATGAAAGAAAAAAATAAGGGCGTGCATAGTTCTCGCTGAATTATACTGGATAAATATTATGTGTATAAATGTATACATTATGATAGCCATTTGAAATTATACCAATTTAATAGAGAAGTGTAGGGTAAAGTTTTACATRGATAAATAAAAAAATAATGGTTCTATGTGTATATTATGGTCTATAATATGCATATGATAATATACCTAGACCATAAATTGAGATATACTGGATACGGAAATAGGCAGGTTACCATGTAAGAAAAAATAATTCTGAAAAGTGCTTTTTTAAAGTACAATTTTATTGTCCTAAGCGCTAAGCCAAACGACTATTCAACACAAACTATACCAGTA